TGAGCTCCCTGCCCCCTCAGAGCGTCCACCTGAGCTCCCTGCCCCCTCAGAGCGTCCACCTGAGCTCCCTGCCCCCGCAGAGCATCCACCTGAGCTCCTTGCCCCGCAGAGCATCCACCTGAGCTTCCTGCGCACCGTGCCGCCCTACTCGCATCAGGCGAGCGTCTGGTTCGAGATGATGCGCGTGTACAGCTGGAACCACATCATCCTGCTGGTCAGCGACGACCACGAGGGCCGGGCGGCGCAGAAGCGCCTGGAGACGCTGCTGGAGGAGCGCGAGTCCAAGGTGAGCGCCAGGGCGAGCCTGCGGGCCGCCTGTCTGGCTCGTCGTGACTCTCTCTCTCCATCCTGCATGCTCAGCACCACGCGTCTGGCGGCGCCCGCCCCGGCCTGTCCTCGGCTCATTTCACTCGCTTTTGCCATTAGTCGAAATCTCCTTCGTGTCAGTCCCTGCTGGGCCAGGGCCGAACCACCTGGAGCTCCGCAAACACCCCGCCCCGCCCCTCCGCGCAGCCCCGCCCCTCCGCGCAGTCCCCGCCCCGGCACTTCCCCCACTGGTGCAGGCTCCGCCCCTGCCAGATACCCCGCCCCTCGCGGAGCAGAACAGGCCGGGCGGCTCAGGCCCCGCCCATTGTTTAGCAGGCCCCGCCCCTGTAGGCACACCTTCCCACCCGACCGGCAGCCCACCCACCAGGGGGCGGGACACGCCCCCTCGGGCTCTGGTTCCTTCTCTGGAGGAGTGGATCCCCTCACCTCAGGGATTCGTTCCTGTCCTCGCAGAGGGCTTGTCCTGGCTGCACCTTCAGCCTCACAGCTGCCCATGGCCCTCACTAAAGCCTCCTCACAGGCATCTCCCCTCCTACACCCCCAGCCAGGGGGCCCCTGCCCGCGCCTTGCCGTCCTCTCCTCCCCCCCCACGTGCCGGGGCTGCGCTCCGCACATCTCATGGGACCCTGAGTCCTGGACACACTGACACCTAGCCCAGTCCAGCCTCCCCGCGGTGGGGCTGCCAGAGATCAGAGCGGGACTCCCGGGGGTCCCAGCGACCCTTTCCGTACCCATCCCCATGGCCAGGCCAAGCAGTAGCTGGCCTGGACGCCTCCACCCAGCCCAGGGCCCTGGGGACCAGGCTCCACGTCCCAGCCAGGTGGAGAGGGAGGAGGCCCGGGCTGGGGGGCCTGGGACCAGAGGAGGGCGGGTGGGAGCATGTTTCGTCTGGCAGTCAGAGTTGGCTTCATCACACTTAGCCTCACCCCAGGCACCCCAAGTCACCCCAGGCCCCTAGAGGGAGTAGAGGGCACGGGTGGGGGCAGAGGCAGACCCAGAGAGTCCTGGGGGTCCTGTCTTGAGGATCTGCTGAGTCTGGGGGAGGCTGGCTAAGAGCTTGAGGGCGACAGGGTCCCCATTCCTAGTGCCAAACAGGCAGCTCCCTCACTGCTGTGCCCACCCGCAGCCACACGAACTCCCAGCACACATTCAGACTTGTCTGCACGGCCAGTGTGCTTGCACACTCACACATACACTCACTTCCTGGGCGCCACTCGGCACGCCACACCTCCCAGACACACTCAGACCCCACCTATATGACCTCATTAGGGTCCAGGTGGCTGGACACACACAATGTGTCCATAAGCCACACCTTCACTTGCACCCACCAGCGCACGTGCACACACACACACACACACACACGCTCAGACCCCACCATCTGTCTGCCAGCTCTCAACCTGCCCCCCCAGGCCCTCTGGGGTCACAGGCTCCTGCAGACTGACCCCCATGCAGATGCCCACACCCATCACCCGACGAGTCCACATGCTACACGTGCTGCTATGCTCACACTTGGGCACACGTGCGGGCCAGTCAGTGAGAAGAGAACGCGCATGCCCCCAGCAAAGCGGGAGGGAGGACAAGCAGGGCAGGAGGGACATGCGGACGGAGCCTGCTCAGCCCCGACAGTGGGGCGGGGCCTGTGGGGCCACACAACAGGTGCATGACGGGCTGGGCCGGGCTGGGGTCCCAAAGGGTGGATGCGGACAGGGTCCCCTCCTCCTGAGTGACCATCTCCAGGTGTCCCGCTCCGTGGCGGGAGCCTCTGTGGCCCCAGCCCCCGGCCCCCACCGCACCCCACCAGGCCTTGGTGTTTGCGAGCTCCAGGTACGCGCCCGTCTGCAGACGTGCCGAGGAGGTGTGTGATTGCTTTAGCGCCGTCATTTTCAACCGTTTATAATCTTCTTCTGTGTCTGCATATTTTCTCTGTGCACATTATTCATCAGAGTAAAAAAAGGAACTATGAAAACCTCGACCAACTGTCCTATGACAACAAGCGCGGACCCAAGGTATATATGCATGGACGTGCACGCCACCCATCGACTAGCGAGCCCCAGCCTGTGGCGCCTTGGCCGCGAGGGCCGCCTTCTGGCCCAGCCGCACCGAGCCGCAGGGCTGAGCAGTGAGGAGAGCCAGGTCGAGGCAGGCAGCAGGCAGGCAGGAGAGGGCGGGCTTGGCGATGTGGGTGCCCATGGCCCACCCGCCACGGCCCTGGCCTGTGTGCTCGAGGCAGGCACAGCTGCAGGAGGAGCTGCTCTCCGGGAAGTGCATGCAAATCTGCAGGACCCCCGGGTTTCCTCGTGGAACGCCAGGAGGGAGCCCAACTGCCTGACTGCCCGCCAGGGCCCAGGCTGCTCCTGCAGGGGCCTGAGGACTTGGGCCGAGCTGAGAGAATCTCCCGTGGTTTTGGAAAAGTCGGCCCCGTCTCTGTTCCCGATTGCATTCCAAAACTCTTTTCTACTTCCTGTCCGCTGCACGTCTCTTTCTGAGTCTTGGTCCACTCCAGCTTGCATGCTCAGTGCAAAAATGAGGCCAGGAGTGAGATGGAAGCGGAGATGCAAAGAAAGCAGGATGGAGCAGAGTGCCTGCAGGAGCGCTAGCAGGCCAGGCCAGGCCAGAAGGAGGGCCAGGCCTGGAGCCAGGAAGGCAGGCGGTAGTGCAGGTGGCAAGTGCAGGCCGGGCAGCCCTAGCTGAGCTGCCTCGGGGTTCCTAGAGGCTTCGGCCTCACTCTCGCCACTGAGGTGCTATGTCAGCTGGCCTTACCACCTGCTGATGCTCTTGCTCACACTGCAGGCCGAGAAGGTGCTACAGTTCGACCCGGGGACCAAGAACGTGACGGCCCTGCTGATGGAGGCACGGGAGCTGGAGGCCCGGGTCATCATCCTCTCTGCCAGGTGAGGCCGGGCGGGCCAGGGCCACGGCCACGTGGGCCATGAGCCCATTGGAACCACGGCTGGGTGCACTGGGCAAAGTGAGCTTCACCGCTTCCCTGGGGCCAGCCCCTGCACTCCCACCCCCACACTCCTGGAGGCCTGACGATTCCACTCCTCCAACTACCCACAACTCCCCGGGCACTGCCCCTTCCATGGCCACACGCAGCTGCTTGATCTGAGCTGGTTGTTGGGGATAGGACATGGAAAAGACCCTGCCCTCAGGAAGCCCATGACTCAGAGCCACACTGTGTGTGTGTGCATGTGTGCTGCTGGCGACTGAACCCAAAGCCTCACACAAGCCAGGCTAGTGCTCTACCACTGAGCCCCCTTTCTATTTATTTGAGACAGGGTCTTGCTAAGTTGCCCAGGCTGGCCTTGAACTTGCAATCTGCATGAAACAGCTCCAGGGCTGGGGTCAGAGAAAACGCCCAGCAAAGGCACATGTAGCTAGCTGTGCTGCCTGGCCCAGGTGGCAATGCCCAAGTAGGGAGAGGGCCACATCCACCCCTGAGGGCACAGAGTAGCTGGAGAGGAAACAGACAGGGCCTGTGAGAAGCAGGCTGCCCCAGCAGGGCCTGGCTCCCACCTCAGCCTCAGGAAAACCCCACAGCAAAAATCTCCCTGTCCACAATGGCAAAGCTTTCCTGGGAAGGGAAAGACTAGCTCCCAAGGACAGGGGAGGAGACAGCGGGAGGCCAGGGCTACCCTGCTGCCTGACCCAACCCAGAAGCTTTGCTGCATCCCATGCAGTGTAAACAGCAAGTGCTCAGAGGAGCACATACCAAACCCTGAGGTCCTAAAGGTAGAAAGGAGACAGCAGCACTCCTCTGTCCCAGGACAGGCAACTGCCTTCCATCAACAAACTCTGTGACACACACAAGGTCATCTCACCCCTCTGTTCTCAGACCAGAGTGGGGCCAACCAGTCTCCTCAGGCCGAAAGGGTAGATCTCCTTCACCCAGATGGCAGGGCTGGGCTCCAGCTGCCCCACTCCCAGCGGGACACTCCCCGGGGCCTGATCTGCGCCTTAGCAGCTGCACAAGCCGCTCTAATCACCTCCAACTGGCCAGGTCTCGGAGTCATAGAGCACTTGCCTTCAATACCCTTCCAATTTAGGGCACTTCAGGAAGGTGGCCCGGGGCTTCAGAAGAAAAGATTACGTAACACTGTGCCCAGGCCAGGGGGCGGGGCTGCGGAACCCCTTGGAAGGCAAGCCCCGCCCAGGGAGAGCTCCGCCCAGGGAGAGGCTCCCCCCCCCTCCCGCGCAAGGAAGGCTCCAACCACCCAGAACCAGGGTGCCAAGACAGAAGCTCCACCTGGAACATTTCCGCCCAGGGAAAGCCCTCCCTGGGGCGAGTCATACCCTGGTAAAGGCCCATCCAGAAGCTCCATCCAGGGCCGGGGATTTAGCTCAGTGGTTCAGGTGCCTGCCTCACAAGCGCAAGGTCCGGAGTTCGATCCCCGGTACCAAAAAAAAAAAACAACAAAACAAAAACAGAAGCTCCATCCAAGGAAAAACGCACCCGGGAGAAGGCTCCACCCACTCAGAGGAAGTCCTGCCCGGTCCAGGGAGAGCCACGCCCAGCACAGGCCCAAGCAGGGAAGAGTAGACAACCATCCCGTCTACTGGAAGCCCCGCCCAGGGCAAGCCCCGCCCAAGGGAGGCCCAGCCCAAGGGAGGCTCAGCCATCCCTCCTAGGGACAGCCCCACTGGGGAAAGCCCTTCCGTGAAAGGCTTCCCCAGTGTTTTGTTTTGGTTTTGGTACCAGAGCTCGAACTCAGGACCTTGCACTTGCAAGGCAGGCTGCAGCACCTCTGAGCTAAATCCCCGACCTCTTCCCCAGTGTTTTCTGATTGTTTACACTTACCTCACTCATTACAGGGCTTGAGTGAGATGTGGCGGGTGTGGTGGGATAAAAGTGTAGTGGGTGGACAAATAGGCTAGCTATCAAGCAGAAGATTTGTTCATCTGTGTAATTTAAAGAACCCGCTGGGTTCTGCTGTTGGGCACTTTGGCAATGAACTGGTCACACTGGGATAGGCCTGCCTGACCCCTATATTTGTAATCAGGGTGACCAAAGGGGCACAAGCCAGAGGGTCACAATCCACGAAACCCCACCAGCCTAGGTCCCAGCGACGGGCAGACACTTTCTGCACTGTTTTCCTTATGTCCCTGCTTCCGTGGCACCCACTGATGCCGCAGAGGATTCCCTCTTGGGGCACAGGCTGAGAGGGGCCTACCCTGTGCTACCAGATCCCAGGATTAAGGACAATTTTGCAAGACATGGCTTTAAGAAACAGGGAGAGGGAACTGTCATGGCAGGCAGATGCACACACGTGTGTGAACCACATGCACACCACACACTCCTGCATGTGAGTGTACATTGTACAGACATCATCCATGTACCAATGTGCACACACAGGCATGTGGCATACATATCATATCACTTCTGCATACCCCTCACATGCACACATCCCTAAGTGCCCAAATGTGCCCACCATACTCAACACAGGTACATGTGTACACACACTGTAGGCACATGTGTGTGCACATATATCCACACACATGTATATGTACACACTTCACACATGCACACCGAATGTCACACAGAGGCACACAGCTCACACATGAACACAGAGACACTGATGAACGCACCACACATTTACACGTAGGCATGCCCAGTCATGCACACCTAGGTATACACCACAGTGTACCTACACCAAGTACACACCATGCACTGCATACATGTACCCGACATGTGCGTAAGCCCCACATGCAACACTGACCAGCAGGCTCACACCTCCACTCCCGTTATTTTTCTCCAGTTTTCTACAGAGTACTCAGAACTCATTTCCAAAACTTCAATTTTGTTTCATTGGAATTGTCTTTGTCAATATCAGACACTTCCGTGAACTGTTCTGATGAGGTTGGATGCTTGATCAGGCTTTCATCTGCAACTATCTCACTGTCAGAACCGCTGCACTGTGCGGCCCGCGTGGATCTGAACTGTGTGCAGAAGGGCTTGTCTGGCAGGTGTTGGTGGGCTCGGCTGGCAGCAGGCGTGCTGCACCCTGACACACGGTGTTGGCCTCTACTGGGTGACCCCTGGCATGCTCTGTGTGCCGTGTTCTCACTGGGGTCACTGCAGAGCCTTGCCTGAAGCAACTCTGGTTCTTGCTGCTTGCATCCACCAACAGCGTTGTCATTTAGAGCAAACACACACTTTTTTTTTTTCTTTTTAAGACAAGCTCTCGCTATGTAGTTCAAGCTGGCCTTGAACTCACTGAGTTGCCCAGGGTGGCCGTGAACTTACACCAATCCTCCTGCCTCAGCCTTTGGAGTGCTGGGATTATAGGCATGTGTCACCATGCCCAGCTTGAGGGTTTGCATTTCTTTGTTGGCTAACCCTTGAGAAAACCACTTTGGCTTCCAGAGTCAGCCACTATAAAATCAGCTCAACACTCAGGCGATAATCCTGGCCTCGACGTGCCTGTGGCCCGTGCAGTGGAGAAGCAGAGCTGGGGCTGCAGTCAGCGTCCAGGCCCATCAGGAGCCAGCTCAGGCCTGCAGGGAAGGTTTTTGCCATGACCAGGGAGGCCCAGCCCCAGGAGACCAGGTCCCCTGTGTCGCTGTCCACAGGCATCACTTTTGAGGACACAACACTCAAGACCCCGTCCCTCCAAGTTGAGGCCTGAGTGCTGTTCTCCTGGTGGCCCTGGCCCTGGGGTGGCAGGGGCACAGCTGTTCTGCAGATCCCAAGGTGACAGCAGAGCTTCCTCCACCTGGCAGCTCCGGGGGCACCACTCCCACGGGCTCTCGCCCATCCAGACGGCCTGTCCTCTTCTTTCACGCACTGGGACATGGAGGACCAGGGCGTCGGGCTTGTCTATGACTGCGGCGGTCACAGGGTTATGGGCTCTGGGATGGGCTGTCCAGGCACAGAGCTGACTTCCACTCACCACCATGTATGTGCCTCGGTTTCCCTCCCGAGACGATAGCACAAAGCCTGCCCCGTGGGGATGATGTGAACAAGACTGTCCTCGTGTGGCCCTTAGAGCACATGAGCGAGCCCAGCAGTGATCTCACCCCTTCCTGCACTCCCAGCACGGCCTTCAGCCCGCCCCGCCCCGCCCCCAAGGGCCGCAGCAGGGGAGGGAGGCCTGGGAGGCTTTTGGGGTCTGGTTTCATCTGTGTGTGGGGTCTCGGCCCGCCCGGGTGGGGGTGCAGCGTGGGCGCCCGGGTTTGTGGGCTCCGGGATCGCCTGGCCTGGCACCAGGACGCGTGGGCGAGGAGGCCCGGGCGGGGAAGACCCGGTCCTGGCCCTCACCCCCGTCTGCCCACAGCGAGGACGATGCCGCCACCGTGTACCGCGCGGCGGCGATGCTGAACATGACGGGCTCGGGGTACGTGTGGCTGGTGGGCGAGCGCGAGATCTCGGGGAACGCGCTGCGCTACGCACCCGACGGTGAGTGCCCGGCGGGGGGCGGGGGGGCGGGCCGGGGGCGCACGCACTGAGCCGCCCCTCGCGCAGGCATCATTGGGCTGCAGCTCATCAACGGCAAGAACGAGTCGGCCCACATCAGCGACGCCGTGGGTGTGGTGGCGCAGGCTGTGCACGAGCTGCTGGAGAAGGAGAACATCACCGACCCGCCCCGCGGCTGCGTGGGCAACACCAACATCTGGAAGACCGGGCCGCTGTTCAAGAGGTGGGCGGGGCCTCCTGCAGGAAGCGGGAGGGCCCTGGCTGGAGGTGGGCGGGGACTAGTGGGATGGGCGGGGCTTCTCTCTGGATTTGATGGGGCTCAGGAGGTGAGCAAGGCTGTGTAGCAGGTGGCATAGGGGCTTCTCTCAGGAAGTGGGAGGAGGCATGTGGGAAGTGGTCCAGACTTCTCTCAGGAAGTGGGAGGGGCCTGCTTGAACGGGCGGGGCTTCTTTCAAGAAATGGGAGGGGCCTAGACCTAGACGGTCTCCCCACTTGAAACTTGGGCCGGTTATTTTTCCAGAACGGGGCAGGAGGGCTCAGCAGGGTTGGGCTTTTCCTGGGTGTCCAGCGGGTCCTGTTGCCCGTGTCCTATGAACAAGTGACCCCCACCTTCCCAGCACCACCACCTCTGTTTTCACTCACAAGCATCTGCCTTTGCTCCCAACACTGACGCCAGGACCTCAGCTCCCACCGAAGCCCACCTCCACACACTGCAGCCCACCCTGAGACTGTGCCCCTCCCCACAGTGGCTGGCAGCCCTTGGTAGGAGGCCCTTGCAGCAGCAGGTAGGGACTGGGAGCTTCTAGGAACCTGGGAGGTTGGACATGATGCCCAGGAACAGCACCTGAGTGAGCCAGGTGGGCAAGGCCCAAGACCCAGAGGGCAGAAGCTGACTCTCAGCTGCATGGACACCAGGCCACCTGGGTGGGGCAGGTGTGCCCACAACAGGTACACACACAAGTGCAGATGCAGCCAGCGTGCAGAAGCACACAGGGACCCAGACTCAGGACACACACACGAATACACAGGTACATACTTCCGTGCACACAGGCTCACTGATGTGTCCCAGTGGCAGTGACACAGCCAGCAGGACTGACCAGTGCTTAGGGCCGGATGCAGGTCAGCCTGCCTTCTCTGTTTGCTGGCAGACAGCCTGGTGTCCTCTGAGCTTCTGTGTCCTCTGTAGAACCAAGATGGCTGCTGTGAGGATCAAGCAGCCTACCCCACAGAAAGCCCTCAGTGCAGGGTCTGTCACCCAGAAGCCACCCAGCTGTCACTAGCTGTGCTGCCCATCTGTGTGGGCAGATTTGCTTATTGCCCGTCACTTGTGTGAGGGGCCACCATCTGCTTATCTTTCTTTCTTAGTACTACGGTGAGAGGGAGGAAGGATTCTGGTTTCTCAGGAGGTGGGGTAGGAGGTACCCTTGATGGGTTGGAACCACATGCCGTCCCAGGGTGCTGATGTCTTCCAAGTATTCGGATGGAGTGACCGGCCGAGTGGAGTTCAATGAGGATGGAGACCGGAAGTTTGCCAACTACAGCATCATGAACCTGCAGAACCGCAAGCTGGTGCAAGTGGGCATCTATAATGGCAGCCACGTAGGTGGGGGTCATGAGGGGGTGGGGGCTGGGGCCTTAGGGTCCTGGGGCCAAGACCCCTGCGGGGCCACCCTCCACCTCATACTCCCACCCCCAGGTCATCCCGAACGACAGGAAGATCATCTGGCCAGGGGGGGAGACAGAGAAGCCTCGAGGGTACCAGATGTCCACGAGACTAAAGGTGGGCTCCCTGCTGATCTGCCTCAGCATTCCCGCCCTGGCCTGGAAAGGGACGGAGAGGTCATTGAAAGCAAGGAAGGGATCCAGTGGAGTCGGGGCCTGCATGTGGCCGCCACCCCCACCTTTGTCCCGCTGGAGAAGCAAGCAGCAGAGACAGGAAGAGGCAGCCTCCATCCAACAGACTCCAGCAGCCCCAGCTCTGCCCAGACCCCGTGAGGTCTGGGAGGCGCACAGGGCACAGGGACAATGGGGGCCCTGCACACGTGCCCTGTCCTCCAGGTAGCCCGTCTCCTCTGGCTTCTGCGAGCCGCCTTCTCATAGCATCTTTGCACCCTTTGGGCTCTTTCTAGGCCCCCTTTCCCCCCAGAGCCTGCGCCAAGTCCTTCCCAGGGCCGCGAGCTCTGCTGTGGCATAGACCCCCAGGGGCAGGAACTTAAGTGCAGGCTCCCCAGCTGACCCCCTCCAAGTATCCTCAGGTCTCCTGTCTGGTTCCTGACCACACCTTCCAGCCCGGGGCTGGTCCTCAGGCCCCACCCTGACTCTCCCTCTGCCCTTCCCTTCCTGGTGACAGATGGCTTTCCCGGTGCCTCTCAGGTCCCTGTAGCTCAGGCCCTCTGTGCAGAAAAGTCTGATGGTGGCAGTCACAACACTGGCGGCCAGGAGGCCCCATGGAGGCTGGGAGATGGCAGATGGGTGTTGACTGACCTCACTAATTTTTAAAAAGTGGGGGTGGGGATTTAGCTCAGTGGTTCTGCCGCCTGCTGCCTGCCCCACAAGCACAAGGACCTGGGTTCAATCCCCAGCACCAAAAAAAAAAAAAAAAAAGTACTACCACGTATATTACTTCAGAAATGCAAAACATAATGACAAATTTTAAAAGCAATTTAAAATGTTTTCCCTCCCTGGGAAAAAAGCCAACATGCAGCCTTGGAGGCAGCATTGGCCCTGTGCATCTCTCCCGGCTCCCACTCCACCTGTCACACCCCCACCTGGCTGTCCCATCCCACCCGGACCTCCTGCCCCTCCGCTCTCCACCTCCTTGAGCAGGCGCGCGGCAGGATCAGCTCCAGCACCACCGCCTCCTCCAGGCCCTCGTATCCTGCTGTGGTCCACTCCGTCCCCCCAAACTGTGACTGTCCCCCCACCTCCAGACTGTGGGCCCTGGAGGACAGGGAGGAGGAGGGGCAAGGCTGGAGCCTGGGCTGAGAGGCAGGCATAGAAGAGAGGAGCATCCCTGGGAGGAATGGGGGTGACAGAAGCCGAGGCCTGAAGACCAGGGGCTGCATGTCAGAGCCAGCAGGCACACCCAGGCCCAGGCCCAGGCCCAGGGAGGCGGGGGCAGATGAAGGGGACAGATGCCCCTGTGGGTCTCTTCGGTGGACCTTCCCTGTCCCTGTGGCTCAGCGGGACATAGGGTGTTCTGTGGCTCAGTGGGGAGCTTCTCTTCTCTGAGCGGGCAGAGGTGCCCAGCACGTGCCAGACGTCCTCCAGGCTGCTCAGATGGAGGACCTGAGGCAGCGCGGCCGGAGCCCAGCAGTTTCTGAACCGAGTCCACTAAGCCCAAGATAGACGGGTCTGGGCAGGGCAGCCACCAGATGAGGGTGGCCTGGCTGGGGCCCAGGCTGAGCCCTGACTCCGGTGGGAGGCTCCAGGCCGGGGTAGGGCCGGGGTGACAGTGGGGAACCTGGAGTGGCCTGGCACCGAGAGGAGGCCAGCGCCTGGTGACAGCGAGGGCTGGTGACCCAAGCTGGGCCCCTCTCCAGATCGTGACGATCCACCAGGAGCCCTTCGTGTATGTCAAGCCCACGCTGAGCGACGGCACGTGCAAGGAGGAGGTCACTGTCAACGGTGACCCAGTCAAGAAGGTGATCTGCACCGGGCCCAATGACACGTCGCCAGGCAGCCGTGAGTGGGGTCGGGCTGGGGGTGGGGTGGCCGGCCAGGAGCCCGCAGTGACTCCACCGCTCGCCCACCCGCAGCACGCCACACGGTGCCTCAGTGCTGCTACGGCTTCTGCATTGACCTGCTCATCAAGCTGGCGCGGACCATGAACTTCACCTACGAGGTGCACCTGGTTGCGGATGGCAAGTTCGGCACACAGGAGCGGGTAGGTGGGGCCGGCGGTCTGGGAGTTGGGCCAGGGCTGCACCAGGAGAAGCCCCCCGAGGTGCCAGTCTCACCACTGTCGCCACACAGGTGAACAACAGTAACAAGAAGGAGTGGAACGGGATGATGGGCGAGCTGCTCAGCGGGCAGGCGGACATGATCGTGGCCCCGCTGACCATCAACAACGAGCGCGCGCAGTACATTGAGTTCTCCAAACCCTTCAAGTACCAGGGCTTGACCATTCTGGTCAAGAAGGTGGGCAGGGGCCTGGTGGGTGGCGCTGGGTCCTGGGAGGCCCAGGCTCTGCTGACTGCCTGTCCACCTGCAGGAGATCCCGAGGAGCACACTGGACTCATTCATGCAGCCGTTTCAGAGCACACTGTGGTTGCTGGTGGGGCTGTCGGTGCATGTGGTGGCTGTGATGCTGTACCTGCTGGACCGCTTCAGGTGAGCGCCACGGGGGACTGCACACGTCGCGGGCAGGGTGTGTGGAGCTGGGCCGGGGCGGGCTGGGCCCCTCTCCTGCCCTCTCTCCCGCCCGCCCTTTGCACCCCGCAGCCCCTTTGGCCGGTTCAAAGTGAACAGTGAGGAAGAGGAGGAGGATGCCCTGACCCTGTCCTCCGCCATGTGGTTCTCCTGGGGTGTCCTGCTCAACTCCGGCATCGGGGAAGGTGAGGCCGGGCCCAGCCTGCCCGCCTTGTCCCTGTGCTCGGGGGTCTGACCCCGGCCTGTGCCCACAGGTGCCCCCCGGAGCTTCTCTGCACGCATCCTGGGCATGGTATGGGCTGGCTTTGCCATGATCATTGTGGCCTCCTACACTGCCAACCTGGCGGCCTTCCTGGTGCTGGATCGGCCTGAGGAGCGAATCACAGGCATCAATGACCCACGGGTGAGGCACGGGCCAGCTCCGGGCGTGTAAGGCTGGAGAGGCATCTGTCTGGGCTGGGCCCGGGGAGCAGCCTCAAGCCCTGCTCTGCCCACAGCTGAGGAACCCCTCAGACAAGTTCATCTACGCGACAGTGAAACAGAGCTCGGTGGACATCTACTTCCGGCGGCAGGTGGAGCTGAGCACTATGTACCGGCACATGGAGAAGCACAACTATGAGAGCGCAGCCGAGGCCATCCAGGCCGTGCGGGACAAGTGAGGCCCCTAGAGTGCGGGGGGGAGGGGGCGGGGGTGCAGGACGGGGTGCACATTCCGAAGGCTGAGGGGAGGCACAGGAGCAGAGCTCTCCGTGACCCTGCCTCTGCCGGCAGCAAACTCCATGCCTTCATCTGGGACTCAGCCGTGCTGGAGTTCGAGGCTTCGCAGAAGTGTGACCTGGTGACCACGGGTGAGCTCTTCTTCCGCTCTGGCTTTGGGATCGGCATGCGCAAGGACAGCCCCTGGAAGCAGAATGTCTCCCTGTCCATCCTCAAGTGAGTCCAGCGTGCTTCTGAGGCGTCACCCCCTTTACCCGGCTCCAAGAGCCTCCCATTGGAGGGGGACATTCTCCCCAGAGCCCAGCGCCCGGCGCCCAGGCAGGGGAGGCCTCCCACGTGCAGCCCAAACCAGTCTGGGACCCCGCCCTTGGAGCCCTGCCCAACCAGGCTCCGCCCCAGCATCGCTTCCCCACGGAATCCCCCCCCCCCCAAGGCTTTACCCAATACTGGCACTACTCCCACAGAATGTTCCGCCCACTGAAAGCCTTGCCCAATCCAGGCACTGCCCTTCATGGACTGCCCCGCCCACTGAAGACCTCGCCCAATCCGGGCACTGCCCCTCCGTGGGGCCGCACAAGCCTACCCCGGTTGACATACTGTGCACCCCAGGTCGCATGAGAACGGCTTCATGGAAGACCTGGACAAGACATGGGTTCGGTACCAGGAATGTGACTCACGCAGCAACGCCCCTGCAACCCTCACTTTCGAGAACATGGCAGGTGGGGCTCCCATCCCCCTCAGGCCCGTGCTGGCGCTGCTGAGGCTTCTCGGCCACAGCTGCAGCTCCGCCCTGCACACAGGGGTCTTCATGCTGGTGGCCGGGGGCATCGTGGCCGGCATCTTCCTGATTTTCATCGAGATTGCCTACAAGCGCCACAAGGATGCGCGCCGAAAGCAGATGCAGTTGGCCTTCGCGGCAGTGAACGTGTGGAGGAAGAACCTGCAGGTAGGACGGGCCACCCTCCGAGGCCTGGCGCCCAGGCCCGGCCTGGCCACGGCCCCCTCTGCGCCGCAGGCTGTGGGGCTGGCTCTGGCTCCTGTGGGCAGGACCGGAGCTAGGAACCGTGGCTGGGGGCAGCAGTCGGTGAGTGCTCCCAGGACATGGGAGCAGCGCTGGGGTGGGCTGCCTCCCGGTGGGGGCCCACCGCCAAGCCAGGCCGAGGGAGGCCACACACCCACTTGGAGCCTCCAGAGTCGCCCACCGGCACCCATCCCATAGGAAGGCGAGCGGGCAGGGTAAGACAGGGGCCCACCTGTGCGTAGCACGTGAGTCCAAATGAAATTGGCCTCTGCCACCAAGCCCCTCGACACCCTCCAGAGACCCCTGTCCTGCTGTGACCTTCTGCACTCGACTTCAATCGATCAGCCACAGCCCTTGGGGGTCAGGGATGGGATGGTAGCGAGGCCGACAGGCCTGGGGCTGGCAGCCCTCTCGAAAGTTCTGCTTTGCTCCTCTCTTCTTTCTCTGGTGCCTTCCTGGAGCTGTGTCCTGAGATGAAGCTGGCACTGCAGCGAGGGCTGTGGGAGACGGGGCTGCTGGGACCCTCACACCCCTCATCCGCCCGCTCTTGCTCTTGGCCCGCAGGTCCTTTGGGGACCTGGCCACTGCTCCCACTGGAGGGCACAAGGCCACGCTGACCATCAGACTCCAAGGCCAGTGTCCAGGAGCTGCCTCTATTGCTCCAGTTCCATCTTGACACCCGCCTCGGGCCCCTCGGCCTCCTCCTCAATCTTGATGTGTGCCCCTCGAGGTCAGCTCCTCCAACCCTGAAAGGCTCCTCCTCCTCGGGCCACCCAGAAGCCGGGGGGACTCCCAGGAGGAGAGCCGGCCGGGGGACCCCAGCCTAGCCCCAGCAAGAGCAAGGCCAGGTCATACCCTCGGGCAGGAGAAGAGACCGCTCTTGAGAGCCTGGCTGTCCATCTGTCCAGCACAGGGAGACAGGCAGAAGTGAGGGCCCGAGTGGCCGGCCAGGCCGGGCAGTGGCCCCCAAGGAGCAGGCGAGGGCAGGTGTGGCTGCCATCCTTAGCCATCTAATCACTTATACATATTCATTTTAGGATAGAAAGAGTGGTAGAGCAGAGCCCGACCCTAAAAAGAAAGCCACATTTAGGGCTATCACCTCCACCCTGGCCTCCAGCTTCAAGAGACGTAGGTCCTCCAAAGACACGGTAAGGGGGAGAGCACCCCAGTCCCACGTCTCCAACTCCCCCCTCGCCCCATGTCTGTCTCCCTCTCCCTCGCCATCCCACCCCTGTCCCTGCCTCCAGCCTGGCCACCTGTGCCTCTGCCCCAGCAGCCCCTGTCCCGAGTCAGCCTGAGCCCCCCGCGCCCACATGCCAGCCAGGCTGCCCTCCAGACCCCGGCCCTCTCCCCGCCCTCACTGGCCCTCAGCCCCAACCCCGTGTGTCTGCACGTCAGTCTGCCCTCCCTCTCCCCCATGCCGTGACCGCACACCATCTTGAAGCCGTGTCATGTCGTTGGTCAGCCAGCCTTGCCACTTCCCTGGGCCACACCCGGGCCCTGGGAGCCAAGAGCAGCCCTTGTCCCAGCTGCCCCGCACCCGGAGGCCACACCACTGCTGAGATGCCCCTTTTCTCTGGCCTCCCCCAGAGGGCTGCCACCCTCACTCCTGCCTTGTGATGGCCCTGGAGGGGCGGCTGTGATGTCCCATCCCGTCCGTCTGTCTGGCCGCTGGCCCCGCCCACCAACGCCTGTCTCCCCTGTCTCACCAGAGCCATGCGTGTTGCCTCTTCCATGTGGTCTCTGTGTGGCTGGGGGCTGGGGGCCGGGCCTGGGTCCCTCTGGGTGGACGGCTGGGGCCTGGTGTTGCAGTTGGCCCCTGGCCCCAGGGTGCTGTCCTCGGGGGATGGGGTGGGATCAGGGGGCCCTGCTGAAGTGAGCAGCAGCCCCTGAGGATCTGAGCTCAGGCAGGCAGGGGCACCCCTATGAGCCCAGGCCGATAAGAGGTTCCAAATGGGCTCAGGAAGGGGATCCCAAGACAGATGTCTCAGTTCTGACCTCGGCACCTCCAGAACCAGGCCTTCTGCCTGCTGAGCCAGGATGCCATCTCCTGCTTCAGTGCACTGGAGACCACCCTCAGGCCTAAGGCCCCCAGAGGGCCCCAGCCTTGCTAGATGTATCCTGGAGCCAGGCAGCCACCCTGCAGTCCCACCCACAGGGAGTCCCCAGCCCCTAGGCAGCACTGCCCCAAAGGGGGTGCATGGCCCAGGGAGGAACTGGGGCTTGCGGCCCCCAGCCCTCCACCCACAGGAAGAAGGGAAGATCTCCAGGGCACGGGCAGGACGTGGCAGGGAGCAACCTGAGTCTCAGGGCAAAGCCAGCAGATGCCCAAGAGGGACTCAGGACGCTGAGCTACCCAGGTCCAGGGGGAGCAGCCTGGCCCAGGCAGGGCCAGTGAGGGGGAGTGGGGCAGCTGGAGGCGCTGGGGGCTGGTGGCGGCACAGTCCCCGAGCAGCCGGCCAGGGCAAGTGGGTGGGCCCCATGCTGCAAGGTCTGAGCCAGGGTCCCACAGGGGGCACAGGGCAGAGGGAGGGGAAACAGGGTCGACAGGACTGTGGGGTGGGTGGCCAGGGAGGAGGATAGCTCCTGGCAGGCAGGAGAAGGAGCACTTTGGGGGCAAGGCGTCTGTGGGGATCACGAAAGTTGTGCAGGTGATGGGCCACTTTCAGCGGGGTCCTGTGGTCCGGGCCCGGCCTGCAGCTGGCCCAGGTGCAGCTCAGGGTGCCCTTCTGGGGACGCGCTCCCCGTGGAATCCTGGGGTCCAGCCCTGGCACCAGGTGGTCCCTGTGCCAGGTCCCCCCCCTGCAGGGCTGACTACGGGGCGCTGCCTCTGGGCTCTGGGTGGGGGAGGGCAGCCCAGCTCCCGCTCGGCTCTGGGGCTGGGCACCTGTTCAGAGGGAGGCCTGGGTGGGGGGCTCCTTTGGGTGGGGTGGGGTCGGTCCCGCTGCTGAGATCCTCTGCCCCTGTCCTGTGGCCGGTCCGGGCCAGGGCGGCACTGGGCGCTCAGGGCTGGGATCCCTGGTGGCCAGCAGGGCCAGCGGGTATTGATTGTTGGTTCTTATTTATAGAGCACCGGGGGTGGACGCGGCGCTTTGCAAAACCAAAAAGACACAGTGCTGCCGCGACGCGCTGTTGAGAGGGAGGAGGGCCCGCTGCAGCTGTGTTCGCGTCATAGGGAGGGCTGAGACGCCCGCCCGCCCGCCCTCCTGTGCCCCCACCCCCGCAGACAGACAGACGCCCGGGACAGCGCCCGGCCCACGCAGAGCCCGGAGCACGACGGGGTCGGGGAGGAGCAACCCCAGCCTCCCTCAGGCTGCGCCTGCCCGCCCGCCGGTCGGCCGGCTGGCCGGTCCACCCTGTCCCGGCCCCGCACGTGCCCCTGGCGTCGGGGCTAACGGGCCGCCTTGTCTGTGTATTTCTATTTTGCAGCAGTACCATCCCACTGATATCTCGGGCCCGCTCAACCTCTCAGATCCCTCGGTCAGCACCGTGGTGTAAGGCCCCCGGAGGCGCCCACCTGCCCAGTTAGCCCAGCCAAGGACACTGATGAGTCCTGCTGCTCGGGAAGGCCTGAGGGAAACCCACCTGCCCCAGAGACTGCCCACCCTGGGCCTCCCGTCCGCCCGCCTTCCCTGCTGCCTGGCGGGCAGCCCCTGCTGGACCAAGGTGCAGACCGGAGCAGCTGAGGACGGGCCAGAGCTGAGCCGGCTGGGCAGGGCCACAGGGCGCTCCGGCAGAGGCAGGGCCCTGGGGTCTCTGAGTAGTGGCCCTGGGCGGAGGGGCTCGGAACGGAGCTGGCAACCCCCTCCGGCTGCCATGTGGAGTCACGGTGGGCCACGGCGCCAGCTGGCAGGGCCCCTCGTCTAGCGCCTGCTCACTGCCGCCTGAGCTCCACCCTCTCCTCTTCTTGCTGCACCCCCACCCCGCGGCCCTTCTCCTGACCCCCGTTTGCTGGGCTGGCCCTGCCCATTCCCGCTGCCTCGGGCTCCTCCAGACTCCCGGAGGGCTGAGCCTGCTCTTCGCCAGCAGCCCGCTCCAGGCTTCTCCAGACGCTGGCTCTGGACTGGCCCCACCCTGCCCCGCACCTTGGGCACAGAGGAGCGCCGCCGCACTGGCCCCCC